TAGCGCTTACCATAAAGCTCTAAGCGCTTTACAATTATTAAAAACATGTAAACAAAGTAAAATAAAAATGAGACACTAGGATAGTAACTACTATACTATAGAAACTGGGGGGGGGGGCAAGGGGCCCCTGCCCCCCCCCCCCCCCCCCCCCCCGATTGATTGGATAATTTTTTTTTAGACAAAAAATTTATTAAAGTAAAGAGAAAATAAAGAGAAAGTAACTAAGCTGATGTCCTGTCCGTTCGTTCACCACACAAATACGCTACAGTAAATTAAAACATTACTAACTAAAAAATTTTTGCCCCCCCCCCTCTGGAAAGTTAATCGATTTTTTTGCCTCCCCCCCCCCTAGAAAGTTTTCTGCGGGCACCCATGTGACCAACCAGAGACCATTTAAATAGCTTATTTGCCTACTATGACTCACAATTTTCGAGAAAAAGTCAATCCACTTGCATAGGATGGGGGCTGTCGAGGGGTGGTCAACGCAGGTGCCACTTTTTTAAAAAATGTATATTGAGAGGCGGCATTTTCGGCGAGCTGAATTTTTTTTTTTTTTTAAACTTAGTGGTAGTGGGTGGCACAACTCTCTAGTTAACATATCGCAACATAATCCCTGGTCCGCTCGAAACGTTTCCCAGATCTGCTCATTATGAGGACACTTAACACATCACCCAACACTTGGACATTGATCGCTCTCTCAGTCTCTGTTGTTGGTGGAATTCTATTACGCAGCCGAGTCTCTCGCTTCGCGCCTTTTTTTGCCCATGCGCCGTTTCCCTGGTCTGGCCTGCTGATACTGGTACCAAAGTCATTCTCTGTAGTCTGATACACTAAAGTAATACGTCGGCATAGCTAGAGCAACGTGGCCTCCACGGCCTTGCCATGTTTCTGTTTTGTAAGGCTGTGGGTAGCAACGAAGTCGCCGCGGCTTACCCGTGTATAGGTTTACTTTAAGCAGATTTCTGACCGTTAATGCTGCATAAACTTTATGGTTTGTGTCCGCTGCGGTGGCCGCGCAAACGAACGCATGACAAGTAAACCCACAACTCGCCATAACACATCCAAACACAGGACTAGTGAACCAACGGACAAGTTAACACGCAGAAAAGTGAATACCGGTATATAGAACATAGACAGCTGAACCCAACAACTGGGTTTGAAAAGGCCTTGCTGAGATAATTGTCATTCTTGACTTGTTCTTGTAAATTTATTTTCACTGCTAATTCTCTATGATTGGTTCCGAAAGATTTCAGCTATTTTTATAAATATGTAAATGTTTTTAATGTGCAGAAAATTATTTTACAAAATTGTATAAATAACCAATTTTTATTATATTTCTTGGGCAGATTTTTGTTTCCTAAACTGAGTCTATTGATTTCTTATTAAAAAAACATTAACATGTTCAACAATATTGTTTATCATTTGTAAAAATATCTGGAAAATTCTTATCTTTTATGATAATTTCACATTGATATGCTTTAAATTTCATTTTATTTGACTCCTATATTTCTAATATTTCTTAATTGAATTTTTTTCTCTTTTTAAAGTGGTCCATTTAGGATTTTCCATTTATCTCTGACGTCAAATGTATTATGAGGAAAAGTATTATTACCACATGCTTCAAAATTTGCAAGGTTTTTTATATTATATTCTCTGCATAATGATTGAATTTTTTTTTTTATTACATGTCTCATAAACAAAATTCCGAAGTTTTTATGATCTTATTATTTTTATTAGGCTTGAGGCTAGTGGGTTGTTGGGAAAATGCATTCATTTATATTCTATCAATTATAGCTATGTACTTAAAATTTTTTTTTTTAATTAACGAGTGGAATGTTGTTCAAATAACCTTTAATTTTTTTAATAAGCATTTGTCAGTGTCTTTTTCAGCTTTTATCGATATAGCATTTTCATTTTTTTTTTCTGACGTCAATTGATGAATCAGGAGGAATAGTTTTGGAAATGAATGAAATAGTGAAACGAGGTATGTGGGAGCTTGAAATAAGGTAACAGGACAAAAAACAAGGACATTTATTTATAGTTTTGGAACTACATAATTGAAACTTTGCATGCTTATTTATATTGACATTCTCTACTTAATGATGGATGGTTTTTAAACAAATATCTCAAACTCAAAGGAACATTTTTCAGAATTTTTTTATTTATGTATTTTTTTTATTAGGTTCGTGTGTTAATTTTTTTTCTATCTTAGTTTCTGTCTTAGTTTTCTAATTGTTTTTTAATTCATGAATGATATATATATACATGGTGTATGCATCCCATATCGTTCATGCAGCCCTCTAATTAAAAAAACCCACAATTTTATACGTTTTTTCATTTTTCTCAATTTTGCATTTTCCTGATTTTTTAGGAACGCCAAATGAATTGGGAGGAAAAGTATTTTAGCTACAGCCTTCAAACATTTCATGCTCCTTTTCATTGATATTCTTTACAAAATTCAAGAGGCTTTTTTTTTATATACCGGGTATATCCAACTAGAAAATGTTTATAACATTTTTACATTTGCTACTCCTGAAGAGTTCTCGAATATTTATGTGACCCCCACATACATGCTATTTGTAACACTTCCAATAACTGCTGTGTAATAGCTTCTTTAAACTTTATGTGAATGTTATTCTTAATGTGTATGCCAAGTTTCATTTAAAATACCGTACAATAATTTACAATACAATGCAATACAAATTTGTCTTTATTCATTTTGCGTAAAAGTCAAAATTGGTATAAAATGTTGAATTTTTTGCAATAAAAGTCACAACAAATTTTTTTTAAAATAAACTTTAGTGGATTTTTGTCTTTCTGTTTGTGTATGGTTTGTATGTACTATATTTTTTTCAATGGCTCTATTTATTTAGGGTTATCAGTATTTTATTTTCAATGTGGCATGACTTAGTTGAAACCAAACTCCCTTCACAGAGCAAATATATTTGCTCCCACTCAATCATTACATCTGTACTTAAATGAAGAAATGATAGAAACAATAGTTAACTGTATGGGTACCAACAAGGAATGTGAGAAAGTAAAAGAAGACAAATGGCAAAGGAATGATGTGACCTAATTGAATGAGTTTATTGGCTACCTACTCCTTACTGGCCCCTAATTTATTTTATGGATTACTTGAGTACACAACTCAAATAACTAACAACCAAACAAAAATGTTCTCAAGTCAGTTAAGGTTTTTTTTCAATATTAAATTTTAAATTATGTACCAGTGTGTTAGACCCAGTAGACAGATATGGTAAAAAAAAAAAGACGAGTCCTCCAAAAATAATTCTCTTTCTCATGCTTTATACAATGGCATCCTTTAATTTTAAGATGTTCATTGCAACTACCTTGTGAATTAGGTCAAGTCAAATGAGAAAAGTTGTTGAAAGGAGATTCGAGATATCAGTAAAAACAGTCAGTGTCTGCATGTATGACTCTCAGTGCCAAGGAAAAAGTTTAAAATTGGTGGTTTTGTTCTGACTAAGCCAAGCTCTCTTAGAGGAATAGTTGAAATTAATTCACTATGAATGCAATTTTCATTATTTAGAATACCTATTAATTCATAAAGTACTGTGTGATTAAATCTTTTAACTTAAACAATACACATAAATAATCTTAAATAAAGGATTTAATTTTAATAATTAAATTAATATTATTACTTTTCTAAAATCCAAATGAAAACAATAAATGTATCTAAATCATATTCATTAATGATTTTAAAAAAAAAAAAATGATCTACGAAAATGGCTTAAACTAAAAAAGAAAATAGGAAAGAAAAAAAATCTACCCGCCCTAAGAGAAATTAACATAGCAAAAATAAGAAAAAAAAACAACTAAAAAGAATAAAACTATGAATCTATGAAATAACAAGGAGAAAAAACAATTTAAAAAAAAAAAATTCTCATATTATTATTATCATCACACCCGGCTCCGAAGCCATTTAATCTGTACGGAGCCACTCCGGTTGCGAATAGTGATTTGCAATTAAAGGTACCCGGTACGGATAGCCACTTCGAAACATAAACGATGTGATGTCACATGAAAAGCAGAATATTATAGTAAAAAATTGGACTTAATAACCCTAAATTACATACATTTTTAACATATTCATTTATACAACAATTATTATTATTTTATTTTTAAAGTAAGATCACTGAGAGAATCAGTATAGTTATGCGAGGCCTCTGATCAAGTTACAGGCTGCCACAGAGGAGGAGAAAATGAGTGTAGTGACATTGACAGTCAAGAGAATTTATGTCGAAATTTTTTTTCTGTCTTTCTAAATAAAACAGTACTAAAGCCTGTACGGCTGCACACCTTTTAAACTGAAAACCATAAAAAGTATGGTTAAATCCTACAGGTTGGCATGTATCATAAAAGTATATTGGCTGGGTTTTTTAACATTGCTTTTGAAGACTTTTACTTTTTAGAGGTAATTTTTTAATTACTACCTCTTTCACTGAGTATTGAGATTTGCGTTTAGCAAAGGCTTAGGCTATATCAAAGGGTTGTGATGGTGTAATTATTACTGCAATTCTTATAACGCATGAAAAGGCCCCTAATCAGACAAATGGTGGTTAAGTTACTCACTCCTTTTTCCCCTTTTACATTTTAGATTTTTTGCGACTAGTATATCTTTATAAAAGTATATCTTTATAGTATATCTTTAAAGTTTATTTTTGTAGTATATCTGTATAGTATATCTTTATAGTTTGTTTATTTTATAGTATATCTTTATAGTATATCTTTAATATATTTTTTCTCTTTCTTGTTTCAGATTTTATTTTAGGTAATGAAGAATCATGTAAATAAAAAAAATGGTTTCAACCATCAAGCATATTTTGATTAGCTTAATAAAATGAATTAATATGATCAAAATTAAAACCTTCTACTTCTATTTGATCTTTGTTTATCCCAAAAAGAACTCTGATCATTTCAATATATGTAAAGCTAAATCTGAATTTACAATGCAAAATATGCTACCATTTACATCACACAGCATGAGTTCAAATCACTCCAGTGTAACAGAAAGCCACAACTGCAAAAATTTAGACGCCCAAGTCTTCAGATGCTCATTTTGTGATCTTACTTTTCAAACTAATAAACTTTTACAGAGGCATAAATTTGTGCACAAAACTAAAACAACATTTTCCTGCTCAGAATGTCAATACAAGTGTCACAGAAAGCAATATTTAAACCACCATCTGTTGACTCATTCAAAGGAAAAGAACTTTTTATGCAGTGTTTGTGGTGAGACTTTCACATTCCATGAAACACTGAAGAATCACGTGATGTCTAAACATCCTACCGAGAAACCTTTCCTGTGCAACTTTTGCTCATTTCAAACAAGTGGCGCTCTCACCTTGAAACAACACATGGTAAAACACATCAATCATTTTATCTCTTGTAGTTTGTGCCCGTATTCATGTAGCAGTGAAGCAGGTTTGAAGAAACATCAGGAAACTCATACAGTCGAGACGTCTAAGCTGTGTGATACATGCAGTCTCACATTTCCCACTACCGAAGCTCTCCAGGCTCACAAGCTTTCTCATGCAACTCATAACCAACAAAATTATAAATGTCATCTTTGTCCCTTTGCCAGTCTGACACAAATGGTGTATGTGCGACACATGTCCACTCACAATGTGTCAAAACCATTCATTTGTGATATCTGCGATTACGGCAGTGATCGAAGGGTGAACCTCAAAATGCACATGAAAAGACAACATAAGTTGACACTGCCCAGCGTTGTAAGCTTCAAGTGCGTCCACTGCAGCTTCGCCTGTGAGAGGAGCCAAGATTTCACCAAGCACATGCTAACAGAGCACAACATAGAAAAGCCATTCACATGTCTTTCATGTCCATTTTCAACCCACAGACAAAGTTTACTGAATGTTCATCTTGAAACTCACAAGCCGCATGCGTTCACATGTCAGTTTTGTAACTTTCAATCCAAGAGGAAAACACTGTTAAACAAACATTTGATGACTAAACATGCTGAAGACAATTGCCCTGATGAATCTGACCCACCTGCATTAAGTAAAAGACTGTACATCTGTAAGTTTTGCAACTTTAAGAGTCGTCATTATGCTTCTCTCAGGAATCACTTGCCGATGCATTCCAATATAAGATTTTCTTGCTCGCAGTGCTCGTATGTTACTTACTCGAGGAGGAACCTGGCATCACACAGTAAATCCCATGTGAAAGAAAAACCTTATAAGTGTCAGTTTTGTCATTACACCAGTGCGCGAATTGGTAACTTTAAGATGCACATGGTAACCCACGTCAATGAGAAAAAATATTATTGCAGTAAATGTTCATACGTTTGTCTGTATCAAAGAGATCTTGCTGGTCACGTGTCATCTGTTCACAATACTTCTGATAAATCAGAGGAATCTTCAACACTTTGGCACCAAAAAAGTGCTGAGGAAGTACGTGTACACACAGAGGATGACCAAAACAATGCTGAGGAAGTACATATGAGCACTGACGATGGCTCTAATGACAATGTCCAACAAGTTACAATTATTCCTTGTGTTACTGTTACAGAAAATTCCATCCATTTAAGTTCATCTGCAACATTTCAGTCAATGGTCAATAAAGATTTGGCAGCTATTGAAAATAGTGAACAATTCCGTATGAGAATACAAAATCCAGAAAGTATTGGACCCAGAGGAGATTGGTTGATATCTGTAAAAAACACTGAAGAAGGTCCTTCACTGAATGACATGAATGTTGTGATAACAAACACTGAAGGTCCTTCACTGAATGACATGAATGTTGTGATAACAAACACTGAAGGTCCTTCACTGAATGACATGAATGTTGTGATAACAAACACTGAAGGTCCTTCACTGAATGACATGAATGTTGTGATAACAAACACTGAAGGTCCTTCACTGAATGACATGAATGTTGTGATAACAAACACTGAAGGTCCTTCACTGAATGACATGAATGTTGTGATAACAAACACTGAAGGTCCTTCACTGAATGACATGAATGTTGTGATAACAAACACTGAAGGTCCTTCACTGAATGACATGAATGTTGTGATAACAAACACTGAAGGTCCTTCACTGAATGAGGATAATACATTAAATTGTGAACATCTAAACAACAGCACAGCTGGAGAGCTTTCTTCAGGTGTAACATTAAATGAAAATAAATTTTTAGATGTGGTCACTTACGATGAAAGATGTAGTATGCTAACAAAACCAGCCCATCAGGGGGATGATACCTCTGGAAGTACCAAAACACTCATAAACTGCAAACGTGATTCATCCAAAATTGAAACAACTTTTAATTTCACAAATACTTTGATTGTTAATGGAGAAGCCAGCTGTGATCCACTGAATGCAACCAGTTGTGGTCCACCGAATGCAGCCAGTTGTAGTCCACCGAATGCAGCCAGTTGTGGTGAGGTGCAACAGATCATCTGTAAGTTTTGTAACACTAGTTGGAACAGTGATAGAGAGTTGAAACTGCACACCCAAGTACACGCTAGAGATACAGGTACTAATGAACCTGTCAACAGCAGGATGTCCAGTCAACAGAAGACTGTACCTTCACCACAAGACAAGAACAAATTGTACTCATGCTGGGAATGTGATTTCCACACACAGAGCCCCAGTGAGTTCAGCCGTCACATGGGATCCAGTCATAACATACAGAAACCATTTTGCTGCAAACTTTGTCCGTACACATCCAAACGAGTAGACGACCTGAAGACTCACACGATCACACATGAGGATGGCACGATAAGATCGTGTGGGATGTGTGACTACACGTGCAAGCGTGTGCCCGCCCTCAGGAAACACCTGCGTAAACACACGGATGTTATTTTGTTTTCTTGCAGTCTGTGTGGTTTTGGGTGTAACTTTGAGCCAGACCTCAGGTCGCACATGCTACACGCTCACGACAAGAACAAGTGCCTCACATGCAGGGTTTGCCAAAGTTCTTTTCAGTTTGCTGCCCACTACAAACATCACATGTTGAGCCAGCATGATATTGAAAATGCTTTTCTTTGTCCACATTGTGAATACTCAACAAATGTGTGGAATAACTTCAGGGCTCATAGACTTAAACACATGTCCAAACAGATACGGATACGCAAACAGTTTGACACTGGACACTTAATAAGACCAGAGCCGAAAACTCATTTAGGAACATTTGGAAACAACAAATCCCTAGATGGCTCAGAACTTGACCGCCCCAAGAAACGTCAAAATCAAAATTGCAAAACTGAACACTATTTCCTGTGTCATGTGTGTCAGAGAAAGTACAAACATGCTTCTAGTCTCTGCAAACATATTTCCCTAGTTCACAAAGCTACAGCCAAGAAGCAGTTGTGTTCCATGTGCTCTTACAAAACATCGACCGTTGCTCTACTGAAAAGACACTTGCTGACTCACGGGATTGGGAAACGGTTCCAGTGCACAGTTTGCCAGTTTGGATGTAACCACAGAGAAGTTTTAAATAATCATTTATTGTTACATAACAGCATAATTAATTGTCATGATGCTAAGCTGCTCGAGCCAGTTTCAAGTAAAAGTAAAGACATGAAGCCAAGTGAAAGTAAAGACATACAACAACAAACTCAAACTGAATGTTCCAGATTTATGCTTTCACTCAAACCATCTGTATCTAAAATTGATTTTTCTAGACATACCTGCACACTTTGCGATCACAGATTTAGAAATGCTTCGAGCTTAAACAAACATTTGTTGCGTCATAAAAAATTTCAGAACTTAAACCAATTCCGGTGCTCGGTTTGTTCATTCAAGTGCCTGAGGCCTCACGAATTGAAGCTTCACACGTTCACTCACACTGGGGAGACTCCTTACTCATGCAGTGAATGTGACTTTCAGTGCAGTAAACCTTACACACTGAAATACCACAAACAGAAACATCACTCAGAACTAACCACTGGGTGTGAATCATTCACTTGCTCTCTGTGCCAGTTTGAATGCAGGTCAAATCTTCATCTTCAACAACATTTGCAGGTCAAACATTCAGATGACCTCCAGACTGTCAAACATTCAGATAATCTGCAGCCTGTCAAACATTCAGATGACCTACAGCCTTTCAAGTATTCAAATCACCTACAGCCTGTCAAACATTCAGATGATCTCCAGCCTGTCAATCATTCAGATAACCTTCTGCCTGTCAAACTTTCAGATGACCTACAGCCTGTCGAGCATTCATATAACCTTCAGCCTGTCAATAGCTCATTGTCTGGTACTAATGTGTCAACATCCACTACATCCAAAGCACTTCATTTAGACAGTTCTGCTAATGCTAACAATAGGCATTTCAATCAAAGATCTCACAGTTCTAATTCTAGACAGTTTTTTAAAAGAATTTCACCTCATGAATGTGGCGGAATTAACGCACCATCGATCAACAGTTTCAAGTTATCATATAATGAATGTGATTATTCAACAACTGACAGAAGAAATCCTACCTCACATGTTCAGAAACATGGCTTGAAAAGTTTCCTTTGTCATTTGTGTAACTACACATGCAGGAGAGGGAGAGAGTTAAAACGCCATCTTGTCACACATGAGCACTCAAAGCCGTTATCTTGTGACTTGTGCTCATACTCTTGCATTCATCGCTCAAGTCTTCAAGTTCATATGCTGAAGCATAAAGGAGAAAAACCTGTCTGCTGTAAATTGTGTGATTTCAAATGCCGTCAAGCAAGCACTCTTCGTGACCACATGACAAGACATTCTGATGAGAGGAAGTTCATCTGCGACCAGTGCGGGCATCAGGCTAAGAGAGCCATAGCACTCAAGATCCATTTGTTGGCTCATTCTACAGAGAAACCTGTTGCCTGTCCCTTGTGTGATTTCACTTGCAAAAATAAGAACTCTCTCAGGTCACACTTGATAAGTCATGGGCCTGAAAATGATTGAAATGCATAAGTCATAAATAGATCATGCCATTTAACCTGTCCTGACTTAAATTATGAAATCATATTGCATGCTTACAGATGATGAGCTAAAATCTAAAATATTGATTTTGAAAAAATATTCATCATATTTTATGGGTAAAAGTACCACAAGTTAGTCCCACAAGTTCTTTGGTCTGCACACAACCAATTTGGGAAACAATGCTCTAGAAGTGTCTTGTCCAGTGTATCCTGTCAGGACAATAGAGGGGTCCCCATACATCTGGTATATTTCTTAATTGGTCTGAATTCTCATTTCATCATTATTCTTTGACTTTTAAATCTTTCTCAGGATTTTCCCTCTGATGTATTGAGCAGTTTTTCTGCTTTTTTGGTCAAGGATAAACCAAAAAAAAAAAAGTGAAAATTTAAGTTGCTACTTAGATTCAGACAGGGCCGCTCAAAAAGCTGCATGGAACCGTCTCATCATGGGAAACATGCTTTAGCCTTATTCATTTCATCATTATTCTTTGACTTTTAAATCTTTCTCAGGATTTTCCCTCTGATGTATTGAGCAGTTTTTCTGCTTTTTTGGTCAAGGATAAACCAAAAAAAAAAAAAAAAGTGAAAATTTAAGTTGCTACTTAGATTCAGACAGGGCCGCTCAAAAAGCTGCATGGAACCGTCTCATCATGGGAAACATGCTTTAGCCTTATTCATGATTGAAAGAAATTTTGATAGCGAGTTGGATTACAATTAACGAGAACATTTCAAGAATGAATCTAAGACGAAACATGCTGTCGGTATTGGTTTAAAAGGCTAGTGTTATTCAGCAGGCTATTACTAAAATACAACACAACTTTTCCACATTTTGGATTTTTGAAATATAAAAAATACAATCATTTTCATTTAGTTGAAATTATTTATTTTAACCAGTGTCAGTGGGCCTTCTTTTTTCTTCCTCGCTACACCTGTTAAAACCTGATATTTGTCACTGCAGGCTGCAGGCCCAAAAAGGATTAGAAATAGGCCTAAGCCTAAATCCAAAGTTTCTCATACCTTTTTTATAAATAAAGCTTCAGTGGCGACTAACTGCTAAACCTCTCATCATTACTTTTTGCCTTCTGAATCAGTTTATTGCCAAAAAAAAGCATCATCAAACAATTAGCCTTTATTCAGTTCCCTTTTCAACTCTTCTAAGCTATCAATGTTATACGATGTTTAGGCAGTGTAGACTGTTTTCATGATTCTTGAATCCAGGATTCAGCATTTTCTAGTTACTGAAGCTTAAGTGTAAAACTGACAAAAGTTCTTCATTTTTTTCTGCCGAAAGTGAAGTAAACAATTTTTTTTTTTTCAATTTCATGCAGGGATTTCATCATTAGTCAATAGAAAAGAAATAGAACAAAATGATAAATAAGCATGATTATACAGAGAGTAATGAAAAAAAAATCTTTATTCTAAAAGTAATATAAATTCAACTATTTAAAAAAACAAAAAAAACAAAAACAATGAGATTAAAAAATATCAAAATAAACCCCGCTCCTTTGTACTTTATGGTAATCAAAGTAATTATGCGAACTTTTAGGCTTATAAAAGTTTAATTGGACTTTCTCAAGTTCCTTGTTATGGTCCATTTTGCGCCCCTGATATTTGCGCCCAGGACCAGGTCCCACGCCCCTTTTCACTCCTGATGACTGATGACACTGATGTTGTTTGCGTCCATGGCACACGCCCCCTTTGCACTTAGTCTGGGAAATTATAACATTTAAATGTATGATTTGTATCGTATTTTATAATCTGGGGAAATTAAATCTTTGAGTATAGCTAACTTTTAGATAATATTAATAATTATAAAATTGTTAAGAAATTATTTCGTGAAAGGAATCTGTTTATTTCACTAAATTAATCCTATTTTTGTAACAAGTAATAATCGTTCAATTTGACCTAAAAATTGAAATTGAAAGTAGGAAATGTCGATAGCCGATACTGCTTGAGCTAGGTGGATTGCAAATGCTATTTGAAACACATAACTAAACTATGTCATAAAATATAAACATTATAGGGATGCATTACAGTTTTGTTCAGTAGTTGATTATCTCAATATGATCCAGCAGATGTGGTTTGTATTGGTAAGGAATACAATTAACTGGCCTACTCGGTAAATGTTAAAATTGTTAAGGACGACTGCCACTATTTATCGAATTTCACGAATGTATCCCTAAATCGATCCCTATGCCTAACCTGAACCCCTAAATAGATCCCTATGCCTAACCATAACCCTAAATTCATCCCTCAACCTAACCTAAACCCTAATTCACTGCAACTATGATAAACACCCAAAAGACGCTGTGGCTGCCATCCTAAACATTGGTATTAGCCAATCATTCATTCATTCATTAATTCTTAATAAGTCATTTTAAGTATAAAAGTATAAGTGAAAGTCGGCCTATAACGATATTATTAGTAGGCTTGTGTAGTGTTTTTTTGTAGACTGTAGATGATTAGAACTATAGAGTATGACATAAGAGAAGAGTAAATGGCACACAGCCAAGCAGGTGGAACTTGTTGTGTTTGCTGGGGCCACAAAGAGCAAGAGCTGTAGATAATGTAGAGCTCTGCCTCCAACAGAACATGAATTAGTAGTATCGTCTTAGAGACATTCACTTAGTGGCGATCCACATGCCTAAATTATGTCAAGCAAATTTTGACACCCCCCTCACTCATCACACAAAAAGTTAGCCCCCCTCCAATATAAAGTCAGAAACTTCTGCACATCCCCCATTAAAAATCCATCAGTCCACTATTGTCCTTTACAAACCCTGCAATATTGGATTACTGTGGTTGCTGACCCTTTCTCCTGCAATGTGGAAGATGCGGCAAACACACACACAACACACAACCCCCCCCCCCCCCCCCTAATATTATTTTGCACTTCAAATGGAGCTAATTGATTTTCAGTGCAATTCGGAACTCAAGACTAAGTTCAGGTAGGTGAATGGAAAAACAGACAAACATGGAAAATTTATGAGAGCATTGTATTCCACCTTCTCCGAGATTTCCAGGTTGTTCAAGCGAATCATGTGTTCCTTTTTGGGAGTACCTATCTGTGTGAAAAGCTCTTTTCCACAATAAACTTTAACAAGTCAAAGTTCAGGGTAAACTTACTGATGGGCATCTTCAAGCTATATAGAGGATCTCAGTTGCTTCCTCACTCAAGCCAAATGTTGCTCAGCTGTGTAAGAAGAAGCGCTGCCAGGTCTCTGGCAATAAGAAGTAGGAAGAAGAGAGTGAAGTCTAATTCTTGAGAACCCTTAATGTTTTTATTTGTTATTAATAAAGGTTAAGCAGATTGTAACAGTTGTACTTTATTGAATTTGTAATAGCATTTTTTTTATTACTTGATGCGGCCCAGTCTCACTCAGACCCTACCTCCTGCGGCCCCCGGATGATTTGAGTTTGAGACCCCTGGTCTAAAACATTAAATGAAACACAATCAATCAGCAGTCAAACATTCACTAATGAGTCTAATGACACTAAAATAAGGAGTGAAAATTTAACAAATATGTTCCTCTTTAAAATATAGAATATAGGCTATTTACTACATAGTGTTAGACCTATTTATTATTATCATTGATAGGTCTAATTAATTTTGCATTAAGGTAGTAGTAGGCCTTCAATAGTCTAAATTAAAGTTTTTTAAATAGGACTCCTGATTTCTGCATAGGTCCAATATACTAATATAGAAATGCACATTATCATTGTTATTGAATTTATAAATAAAAAATTAAAGGTGACGTGAAATTTTAAAGAATATGACTAAAAAATATATGGTTTAATGTTACAGCTTCTTAACATAATATTTCAAATTACTAATGCTATAAATATTATTGAATGTAGGCTTTTTATGAAGTCTATAAATGATTAAATTATATAAATTATATATGAATAACGTATTATCATTACTGACATTAGGCCTCTATTTTGACATTTATTTAACTATGGCAAGTTTTAGTATCAAAGAGCTATACTATGCTAATTATATTATATTTAGGCACCCTCTTCCATAAAAGTTTATGTTAAACAAATGTTTGGGTAGGGCAGAGGTGGGGCATCCCCCTTCCCTCGAAAATTGGCAGTTTCAAAAAAAATTGCTATGTACCTCCCGTAATTAACAACTAAACAAGCCGGACAAGTTTTTTTTTTTTCCCCCCTTTCCCCCCACCTGATACACACACTGCCCTGTAAGTGAATAATATGAAAAAAGATGATATAATTTATTAAGGGGCCTCATGATATTGATTGATATTTTGTGTGATAAAGACCAAAAAATTAAATTGAGAATTAGGCCCATTTCAAGTTTGTATTTTATTCATTTAAATTTATTTTATTCATAGTTACCCCTCTTGATGCAACTTCCCTTATCACAAGAAAAGATTTGCCCTAGAGAGAATTCACGTATTGTTGCCAAGATTGTGAGGGAGGTAATGTATAGAAACAGAAACCTAGATAATTAATTTTAGTACCTCATAACACTGTGATGGTGTCATATGTCAATTTAAACTTGAAAGGCATTCAATGTAATTAAAATTCCAAACAAAAAATTGCAATCTTGCAGAGTTTTGTGAAAGCTGTTGATAGGAATATGCTTCAAGAAATATAATTTTATTATAATTACATTTAATAGATGTTAGCAAAATGGGAACATGTATTATAGTTGGTAACTAACTCCAAAAGTTAACGCTTCAGTTCATCTAGTTGATAAGAATACTATTGATACTGATAGGTTTTGTAAAATACTATTGTTGCTAACAGATTTTGTAGAAATGCCATTGTTACTGATAGGTTTTGTAAAAATAATATTGGTGCTGATAGCTTTTGTAGAAATAATATTGTTGCTGATAGGTTTATAGAAAAACTATCATTGCTGATAGGTTTGCACTGATTGAATCATTATCAAGTATCATCGTGTTATAATGAGAGGCATGTGATTGCAATACATTTTTACTCTACTTTAGAGAATTTATCCTGCTTTCAAAGCTGTTAAGATGAGCCAAACACCTAACTGTCAGTTTGCCCTTGATCGGGATATGTTTTCATTACAAGAAGGGCACAAAATTTTGGAAGGATCAAGCAGATGGACTTGTAATTTTTGTGGAAAGTCATTTGTATCAGAATATTTTTTAGACCGGCATTTTGAAAATAGACACATGGACCAAATCAGAGTAATTTTTCTCTATTTTGTGTTATAGTTATGGTGCACATGAAAGATATGTTGTATTAATATGTGCATGAAAGAAAGGATGTGTTAATGTGCACCTGAACAAAATGTTGTGTTAATGTGCACATGAAAGAAATGTTGTGTTAATGTGCGCATGGAAGAAATGTTGTGTTAATGTGCACATGAAAGAAATGTTGTGTTAATGTGCACCTGAAAGAAATGTTGTGTTAATGTGCACATGAAAGAAATGTTGTGTTAATGTGCACCTGAAAGAAATGTTGTGTTAATGTGCACCTGAAAGAAATGTTGTGTTAATGTGCGCATGGAAGAAATGTTGTGTTAATGTGCACAGGAAAGAAATGTTGTGTTAATGTGCACCTGAAAGAAATGTTGTGTTAATGTGCGCATGAAAGAAATGTTGTGTTAATGTGCGCATGGAAGAAATGTTGTGTTAATGTGCACAGGAAAGAAATGTTGTGTTAATGTGCACCTGAAAGAAATGTTGTGTTAATGTGCGCGTGAAAGAAATGTTGTGTTAATGTGCACATGAAAGAAATGTTGTGTTAATGTGCACATGAAAGAAATGTTGTGTTACTGTGCACATGAAAGAAATGTTGTGTTAATGTGCACATGAAAGAAATGTTGTGTTAATGTGCACCTAAAAGAAATGTTGTGTTACTGTGCACATGAAAGAAATGTTGTGTTACTGTGCACATGAAAGAAATGTTGTGTTACTGTGCACATGAAAGAAATGTTGTGTTAATGTGCACATGAAATAAATGTTGTGTTAATGTGCACATGAAAGAAATGTTGTGTTAATTTGCACATGATAGAAATGTTGTGTTAATGTGCACATGAAAGAAATGTTGTGTTATTGTGCACATGAAAGAAATGTTGTATTAATGTGCACATGAAAGAAATGTTGTATTAATGTGCGCATGAAAGAAATGTTGTGTTAATGTGCACATGAAAGAAATGTTGTATTAATGTGCACATGAAAGAAATGTTGTGTTAATGTGCACATGAAAGAAATGTTGTATTAATGTGCACATGAAAGAAATGTTGTATTAATGTGCGCATGAAAGAAATGTCACATAAAAAAGCATAAAGTCAATAGAAAAGTTTTTCTAAAGAATTTTTTAATCAAAATAAGTTGCTAACTCTGAAAAGTTTTAGTAATAATTTTAATACTATAATATCTAAAGGTTCAATATTAATAGTTATATTTCTTGCGTCTTTTCAGTGGGGTACATTTAAATTTTTCAATAACCCTTAAATTGGGCTATCCTCCCAAAATGCTGCCTATTCCATTTATAACTCGAACCTGATAGCACAATCTGTTATTATTCCTAAAATTAAGTTGAAAAAGTATAAAATAGTAAATAAAAAAAAATCAGAGTTCTGTTCATGGTGATATTGCCTTCAGATATTACAGTTACATATAGTTTAACATGTAGAAAATGAAGAGAAGTCTCTGTTTTAAATTTTTACAAAGAAAATTTAGTTAAAAAATTTGTTTAAAGATCCCATCAATATTTTCAGACCACAGATGCTATTTGCCTGGCAGATGTTTGTGACATCTTCAGGTGTGATATAATCTCAGGTTTATCCCAGCCTGATTATTGGGATATAGCACTCTGCATGGAAGATGACATGCAAGAACTGTTTGCTCAGTGTGAGGCAAGTAAAGCTCTTGTAATTAAGTTCTAGAATTTATCTTACGATTGAATTCTAGGGTTCATCTTATAATTCTAGTTCTAGGGTTACTGTTTTAATTTCCCTTTTTAGGATTATTTTGACATAACCCAGAAGCTCCTAAACTGTGCGCCGTGTAGCTCTGAGGATCTGCAGATTTTAGCCAGGGGTTCCTAAACTGTGTGCAGTGGCACTCTGGGGATCTGCAACTTTTCGCCAGGGGTGCCACTAAGTGTTAAAAAGATGTTAATATGTCATATTACGCGACATCTAGCTGACTTTTTGCAAACTAGTTTTTCACTTAGTAATAACTTTTTTCAGAAGCTTTTACAAATGTTTCACAGATGAAACGCTATAGCTATTAAGATTGTTAATTGTTTTCATATGTAAGTGGCTAACGGTTTTGTATTGTATTAGTTTATGAGATTGTAGAAACTGAATGTTGTTGTGATTAAGTCAAGTGAAATTATTGAAGTATTTTTTATCATTAGCCGTTTAAAAAATAGATGCAAAGGCTTTTACTGAAAAGTGAGAGAAAAATTTATATTCACTATTTTGTGGTGCACTTGCAAGAAAGTTGACATAGGGCCCCATGAATATACAAATAACTGCAAAAGTACCATTATTTGAAAAAGTTTAGGAACCACGTGTAAAAAAATTATCAACTTATTATAAAAATGAGACAAAAATAGGCTTTGCTGGAATGAACAGACAGCCATAAATGCTAACCTGTAGGGTTTACTTGTAGTTTGTTCAATTTTTATACGTTTGCTGAGGTGTACGGCCATACAACTTTTATACTGGATTTAGAAAAGAAATATTTGTGCACAAGACACATGTTCAAAACTGGTCTGGAAATAAATGCAACTTTGGACAACAAGAAGCTTAAATCATTTTTGTCGGATCAAAACGACCAAGTTGAGGATCAGATCAAAATGACCAAGTTGAGGATCAGATCAAAATGACCAAGTTGAGGATCAGATCAAAACGACCAAGTTGAGGATCAGATCAAAATGACCAAGTTGAGGATCAGATCAAAATGACCAAGTTGAGGATCAGATCAAAATGACCAAGTTGAGGATCAGATCAAAATGACCAAGTTGAGGATCAGATCAAAACGACCAAGTTGAGGATCAGATCAAAATGACCAAGTTGAGGATCAGATCAAAATGACCAAGTTGAGGATCAGATCAAAATGACCAAGTTGAGGATCAGATCAAAATGACCAAGTTGAGGATCAGATCAAAATGACCAAGTTGAGGATCAGATCAAAATGACCAAGTTGAGGATCAGATCAAAATGACCAAGTTGAGGATCGGCAGGCCATCTAAATTTAGAAGCAGCGCTGTTGCATTGATATAATTTGTTAATTCTAAGGCAGCGTAGTACAGTGGTAACTACTTAGAGTAGTAAACTATAATTACAAATCCATTTGAATAATTCTTAAGAATGACTGCTGTGTTAGTGAGTGTTCTTTAATTTAAATTAAATAATTAAATATATTTAATATTGCTAATTGCTATAAATCAATGACTAGCTACTAGTCATTATTCCTATTTATTACAAGGGCATGGTTTAATCCTTCTGGTACATTAAAAAATAAGTTTATAAATTGAAGGCAAACTCAAAAACAATGTCAAGATGGAAAAATATTATTTTGGGATGGTCCCAATTTCATTTTACATTGTCAATTTAAATACAGGAATCTGCATTACTACAGCTAGCATAATTAACTGAAAAATTATGTCTAATTGCATCTAAATTGCTATGAAATTCATCATCTGTCCATTTTGAATTAAATCGCTACTGATCAATGTAAACCTCAAAATGTGACGAAAATGGGGCATATCCATTTATGAATGATGTAAACGTGCTTAAATGTGCATGCAGTGAAAGGGAGACTATTTATTTTTACGCAAGTGTGTGATTTAGAAATACCTCGAACAGCTGATGCCCTTAATTTTGGGAATTAAAGTACTCGCGTACACTAATTTAGGGTAAAAGTTACAAAGTGTTTCCAGCCAATGGTAAAATTACTCTTAGCCTTAGCCAATCAGAATGCAGCATGGAAGCACACCCCCCAGCATCAGACACCAAAATGGCTGACGGCTCAATCGACGAACGCGCAGACAAAAGTGGGAAAAAATAAAATCTACTCCAGTTAAATGGGGAAAGAATATTATCAAACGTGCAAAAGCATCAGGTGTATTAAACAAAATAAAACTTAAGTTTTTAAAAAAATATTAAAAATTTTTAAATATTGATTTTCACCTAAATAGCGAAGTGGAATGGTACTTTTAGTTTTAGTAAGTTAATTGGTGTAAGCATCAATGGCATAACTATGACCCATGCTACAGTGCTACAGTGAATGCTAGCAGACCTGCCAACCCTTCCAATTTTGTCGGAATTATACAGATTTTTTACCCCTCATTCCAACCTTCCGACAAACCACTTAAAATTCTGATTTTTCGAACTTTATCATTTTTCACCCGGCATAAAAATCCGAAAGCAACAAAAAAAAAAAAAAGAAAAAAAAAAAATCGGTCCCCTTCCAATTTTGTCGGAATTATACAGATTTTTTCCCCCTCATTCCAACCTTCCGACAAACCACTTAAAATTCTGATTTTTCGAACTTTATCATTTTTCACCCGGCATAAAAATCCGAAAGCAACAAAAAAAAAAAAAAAAGAAAAAAAAAGATTCGGGTACGACAGGAAGTGTTGCAATTGTTTTTATGAAGTGTCTACATTTCCGGCAACCAGAAGAATAAGTTAATAAGTTCTGGAGATATTCATCCGGCTACTATATATTTGACCAAATGACATGACCTGCGTAACAAAGTTGCGCGAGATATTTGTCCGTCAGCCTTGTCATGTGACCGCTAATTGTCTATCACAGTTTATGCTACTTCATTTAATAAAATTCAAGATAGTCTGAACATTTACATGAAAAAGAAATACCAGTACCCTTGCTGGTATATAAAATAATGAACAATTGGTTAAAAAGTGACGTTTTTTAAAAAGCGTGGCATGCCCACCGGATGAATATCTCCCACACTATTTGTCCAGTGGCCTGACGTGTCGACTCTGCCTTGTTTTTATCAAAGGATTCGAAGTGAACCGTAATCTCCAAATCATTTTTCAATCATCAATTGATCCGATCGGCTAAAAAATAATTCATACTTTTTTTTGTTAAAGATTTTCTAAATGAAATGGTTAATCTATTGAAATCGGTTGGTACAATGATATTAATAAACATATTTTAACCCCCCCCCATAAAAACAAAAACATACAACTACAACTGCAGCTAAAACTAAAACTAAAAATAATCCATGACCATGTCTAATTAAAAATTTCTTTGCTAAGGAATGGGACGGTCAGATCGTTTTATTTACCACCTTTCTTATTAAAGGAAATATTTTCTAGCCAACTCCGATCGATTTAATGCCAAGGTCAAAGAAATGTTTCCAGACTCTCAGATTGCTAGAAGATAGTGAAGAAAAATTACAATGAAACAAAAGGGCAAGCATGAAAGTTTATACTCTTTCTAACTTGCTTGTAAATAAAATCAATTGCAATGCTAACTTTCAGTTGTGGAAAGAGCTGTTGGACAAGTGCAAAAAGGCCACTAGCAACTAGGAATATGCTGGGAACTGAACTCTTTAACAGCCTGTATACATATGTAAATGAAATGAATCTTCTGTCCTGTACTATATATATCTGTATGTAAACATTTCCCGTCAGTGGACTCTTGAAAGACAAGGGAAGTAACTTTAGATTTCTTTATTTACTAAAAAAAAGGCTTGTGCATTAATTTATAGATCTTAAACCAACGTCCCCACCCCCACCCGAGCGCTGCCCCCTGGTGCCCCCTTGCATGCACCCCCCTACGAATTTTTGTCTTGGCAGGTTGGCAGGCCTATGCTAGTATTTCTGCTAGTCATTACACTTAAATGGGAACAATGGGATTTTATAGATATGTTTCTAATTTAACAATTGTAGAGTTAATATAAGAATATGTATATTATATGGCATATAATAATAAAAAATTTAATGGCATTGTATGAGATCCTGTCTGGGAATTTCTGCCGAGTGGAGCCTTTAAAGGTTCAAAGGATATCCCTCTTAATGCAGAAATTGCTCCTGGAGACTTGATGACCTTATCAAGGCTTGATTTAAAATCTTTGACTTTAACCACAGGGCTTTGATCCTCCTGTAAATTTTCTGTAAAACTATTTATAAATAATAATAATGAATAGGCAATAATATTATTTATATTTATATTATACAAAACTCATTTATCTCAAAAGTGCCAAAATACACTTAAGAAATTTTTCCACTCGACCCTTGGATTATAAATGAATCTTTTTTCAACTGTTCATTTCTTTACTGTACAGTATTTCATGCTGTTGTACAGTTTTTGAGACTCTTCCTTCTCTTCTTTTTGACCCCACTGGTTGGCATGTATGTGAAAGCGCACACTTTGAAATAACTAATATTACAACTTATGTTATTCTTTAATTTCTCTTGTATGATAAAAACATATTTATGAGCAACTATTTTTTTAGATCAAACCTTCTAATGAATAAAGATAACCTAATTGTAAATATTTAAATTCAAAGCTAATTTTCTATGATTGTTTTTTAAAAATAAATGTTTTGAGACAACTATTTTAAGCTCTGATATCTGTGTGTTTGACAGAGTCTAGTTAATGAGTGCATTCCGCCTGGCTACACAAAAAATGAAACAGACACTGTGAAAAGTAAGTCATACTTTCTTTAAAACTTCTAAAAACTGCTTGCTCTATTTTTTTTAAACCTTGTTTAGTTTTGAGGGGTTTCACCAGCTATGCCATGAGATATAGCGGTAGTGAAGACAGAGCAGTGATTCAAATGCCTCGAGATATAGCGGTAGTGAAGACAGAGCAGTGATTCAAATGCCAAGAGATATAGCGGTAGTGAAGACAGAGCAGTGATTCAAATGGCATGAGATATAGCGGTAGTGAAGACAGAGCAGTGATTCAAATGCCTCGAGATATAGCGGTAGTGAAGACAGAGCAGTGATTCAAATGGCATGAGATATAGCGGTAGTGAAGACAGAGCAGTGATTCAAATGGCATGAGATATAGCGGTAGTGAAGACAGAGCAGTGATTCAAATGGCATGAGATATAGCGGTAGTGAAGACAGAGCAGTGATTCAAATGGCATGAGATATAGCGGTAGTGAAGACAGAGCAGTGATTCAAATGGCATGAGATATAGCGGTAGTGAAGACAGAGCAGTGATTCAAATGCCTCGAGATATAGCGGTAGTGAAGACAGAGCAGTGATTCAAATGCCTCGAGATATAGCGGTAGTGAAGACAGAGCAGTGATTCAAATGGCATATGATCTAGCAGTAGTGTGGATAGAGCAGTGATTCAATTGGCATATGATATAGCAGTAGTTTGGGCAGAGCAGTGATTCAAATGGCATATGATCTAGCAGTAGTGTGGATAGAGCAGTGATTCAATTGGCATATGATATAGCAGTAGTTTGGGCAGAGCAGTGATTCAAATGGCATATGATCTAGCAGTAGTGTGGATAGAGCAGTGATTCAATTGGCATATGATATAGCAGTAGTTTGGGCAGAGCAGTGATTCAAATGGCATATGATCTAGCAGTAGTGAAGACAGAGCAGTGATTCAAATCTTTAGCATAATAAGCCCACAACAAAATGACCTAGTTTAAAGAAAGGCTTGCATTTTTTGAAGTGTTTAAGGTGCTATTTAGAAGGCCATAATATTTGGCAGCTTAGTATTCCACCAGTGACTGCCGGGCATGATTTGGCAGCTTAGTATTCCACCAGTGACTGCCGGGCATGATTTGGCAGCTTAGTATTCCACCAGTGACTGCCGGGCATGATTTGGCAGCTTAGTATTCCACCAGTGACTGCCGGGCATGATTTGGCAGCTTAGTATTCCACCAGTGACTGCCGGGCATGATTTGGCAGCTTAGTATTCCACCAGTGACTGCCGGGCATGATTTGGCAGCTTAGTATTCCACCAGTGACTGCCGGGCATGATTTGGCAGCTTAGTATTCCACCAGTGACTGCCGGGCATGATTTGGCAGCTTAGTATTCCACCAGTGACTGCCGGGCATGATTTGGCAGCTTAGTATTCCACCAGTGACTGCCGGGCATGATTTGGCAGCTTAGTATTCCACCAGTGACTGCCGGGCATGATTTGGCAGCTTAGTATTCCACCAGTGACTGCCGGGCATGATTTGGCAGCTTAGTATTCCACCAGTGACTGCCGGGCATGATTTGGCAGCTTAGTATTCCACCAGTGACTGCCGGGCATGATTTGGCAGCTTAGTATTCCACCAGTGACTGCCGGGCATGATTTGGCAGCTTAGTATTCCACCAGTGACTGCCGGGCATGATTTGGCAGCTTAGTATTCCACCAGTGACTGCCGGGCATGATTTGGCAGCTTAGTATTCCACCAGTGACTGCCGGGCATGATTTGGCAGCATAGTATTCCGCCAGTGACTGCCGGGCATGATTTGGCAGCATAGTATTCCACCAGTGACTGCCGGGCATGATTTGGCAGCATAGTATTCCACCAGTGACTGCCGGGCATGATTTGGCAGCATAGTATTCCACCAGTGACTGCCGGCCATGATGTAGACCAGTGCTAACCAAAGATGATGGAATGGCTGGACCTTAAGTTGAACAAAAACTGCCCATCTTCAGCAAATCTGGTATAATAACTTTATGCAGATCGGCTTGCTATTTTTGTGGGAGGTTCTTGGAGTCAGAATATTTTTTAGACCGGCAAAAAATCTGTTATAGAAATATCTTTTAATTTTTAAGTACCTGTATTGTGAAATTCAAATAAAATGTTCAGGTAGCCCAATGTATTGATTATTTATCAATTTATATTAGTCAACTATTTTGGACCGGTCTAAAGCCCACCACTTTGAGAAGCACTCATTAAGGAAATTGAAACTCAACCCATTGGTCGAGGCAAATTAAAGTTATAGCAAGTGATATTGCGGCTAGATTAAAATTGATCATAAGGGTTAAATGTTATGACATAAAGTTGATCATAAGGGTTAAATGTTACAACATAAAGTTGATCATAAGGGTTAAATGTTACGACATAAAGTTGATCATAAGGGTTAAATGTTATGACATAAAGTTGATCATAAGGGTTAAATGTTATGACACAAAGTTGATCATAAGGGTTAAATGTTATGACATAAAGTTGATCATAAGGGTTAAATGTTATGACATAAAGTTGATCATAAGGGTTAAATGTTATGACATAAAGTTGATCATAAGGGTTAAATGTTTATGACATAAAGTTGATCATAAGGGTTAAATGTTATGACATAAAGTTGATCATAAGGGTTAAATGTTATGACATAAAGTTGATCATAAGGGTTAAATGTTATGACATAAAGTTGAGCAAAGTGGTTTGTTGAAACACATTTTCTTATCTGTAAGAGATACTTTTGATTGAAATTTTTCAGATCAAGTGATGGAGAACTTATGCTCTTTCCTGACATGCTCAAAGTTCTGGAACACACCATATCAGGAGGTAGGTACACCATAGATTTCTTTGTAGTTTTGGAACATACCATAATATCAGGAGCTAGGTACTGAACAGTTTCTTTGTAGTTCTTGAACATATCCTAATACCAGGAGGAAGGTACAAAACAGATTTCTTTGTGCTTTCATTGGGACAAGCAGTTACACTGTGAGGTGGGGTCTCTTTAAATGTTATTGATCCTCATTCACATGGAGTCAGACATGTGGGCAGTTGCACACATTTTGGAAATGCTACGGAAATGTGGCTGAATGTTATGGAATAACATGTGGAATTTTATATAAATTTGGGGAATGTTACTCCTGGGGAAAAGTTACACAATTTACATTTGCCTTATTGAAAAACTTTGTAGAAAATCTTCAACTGAATGATGTCATTGACCAATATTTCCAGGAAACGAACTCTCACACGGCAGTGTACATCGTGCTGACAACCATGACATGCTTCGGGATCATTGTTTACAATTTTGTTTTCTACAATTATTTTTAGTAAGTACACGTAGGATAAGTGGGGCAAGTCATAAAGGTTTAGTATGTAGACTGATTATATGGTAATGTTATCAGCAGTATAGTTAGTGCATTATTGAAGTGTAAGTAATAAAAGCCAGAATGGAGAATTCAATCACTGTCAACCATAGCTGACAGGAAGATTTTTTTTGAGTTTGTATGACCTGGGTGGCAAAGTCACAACAGGTGGTGACTGGAACATACAAGAAAGCACTGCCAATCAGACCATTGGACAATTGACTTTGATATGGAGATGAAGCCATCTGATCATGACTTTGATATGGAGATGAAGCCATCTGATCATGACTTTGATATGGAGATGAAGCCATCTGATTATGACTTTGATATGGAGATGAAGCCATCTGATCATGACTTTGATATGGAGATGAAGCCATCTGATCATGACTTTGATATGGAGATGAAGCCATCTGATCATGACTTTGATATGGAGATGAAGCCATCTGATCATGACTTTGATATGGAGATGAAGTCATCTGATCATGACTTTGATATGGAGATGAAGCCATCTGATCATGACTTTGATATGGAGATGAAGTCATCTGATCATCCACACTTAGACCAGGATTTTAAAAAGTCATTGAGTTTTCTCCTGCATGGATCAGAATGGTGGAAGACCACAAGCTCATCAGAACAGAAGCTGTAGAAGATCACAAGCTCATCAGAACAGAAGTTATGGAAGACCACAAGTTCATCAGAACAGAAGCTGTAGAAGATCACAAGTTCATCAGAACAGAAGCTGTAGAAGATCACAAGCTCATCAGAACAGAAGTTATGGAAGACCACAAGCTCATCAGAACAGAAGTTATGGAAGACCACAAGTGCATCAGAACAGAAGTTATGGAAGACCACAAGTGCATCAGAACATACAAGAAAGCACTGCCAATCAGACCATTGGACAATTGACTTTGATATGGAGATGAAGCCATCTGATCATGACTTTGATATGGAGATAAAGCCATCTGATCATGACTTTGATATGGAGATGAAGTCATCTGATCATGACTTTGATATGGAGATGAAGTCATCTGATCATCCACACTTAGACCAGGATTTTAAAAAGTCATTGAGTTTTCTCCTGCATGGATCAGAATGGTGGAAGATCACAAGCTCATCAGAACAGAAGCTGTAGAAGATCACAAGCTCATCAGAACAGAAGTTATGGAAGACCACAAGTGCATCAGAACAGAAGTTATGGAAGACCACAAGTTCATCAGAACAGAAGCTGTAGAAGATCACAAGTTCATCAGAACAGAAGTTATGGAAGACCACAAGTGCATCAGAACAGAAGCTGAAAGTTTTCTTGACCAAATAATCCATGGAATCTTCTAGCCAAAGACAATCTAAGAATCTTCTAGCCAAAGACATTCTCCAGTGAGGAACTTAGTTTTAGATTGGTAGTGACAAAACATTGTAGTAAAACTTCTGGCACATGGCTGGAGATTTGATCTAAAGTACCGGTAGTAAGAATCAACATGCCATTTCTTGTGTTGCAATTTGTTGATTTGACAAAAATCTATTCTTCAGCTCTGATCTTGTAGAGCCAAGCTACGATCCTTCACCCAGAGTCAAGCACAAAATCAAAAAGTTCCAGGGTGACATGGGCCACAGAGAGACATCTCAGCATCACTTGACAGGAACACATTTCCAGAATGCCTGACATTGAATGAGGTCTACTTGAAGTTTAAAAGGAAGTTTAATTGTATACAGGTTAAATGGATGATACTTGTAGTGGTAGACTGAACAGGGTTTCTGTTTTAACATTGTGACAGTCAAGGCACATTGCTTTTTCCCTTGAATTTGACGTTATGATGATGATGATTGCCGTGGTAAAAGAGAACATGCTGTCACTTTTGATTGATGTGACTGTAAGCTGTATGTTGAGCTGTCACTTGTGATTGATGTGACTTTAAGCTGTATTTTAGCTGGCACTTGTGGTTGATGTGACTGTTAGCTGTATGTTGAGCTGTCACTTGTGGTTGATGTGACTGAAAGTTGTATGTTGAGCTGTCACTTGTGGTTGATGTGACTGTAAGCTGTATGTTGAGTTGTCACTTGTGGTTGATGTGACTGTAAGCTGTATGTTGAGCTGTCACTTGTGGTTGATGTGACTGTAAGCTGTATGCTGAGTTGTCATTTGTGGTTGATGTGACTGAAAGCTGTATGTTGAGTTGCCAGTTTTATTTCCAGATTTATGTGGAGAAAAGTATTAGCCAATATTTGTACTTTGGAAGTAAATGGACTAAATCAGTGGTTCTCAACCTTCCTAAATGCAGCGACCCTTTAATACAGTTTATTGTGTTGTGCGTCCCCCAGCCACACAATTATTTTCGTTGCTTCTGCATAGCTGTAAGGATACGTTTTTTCAGATGGCGACCCACGAGTTGAGAACCACTGTACATCTTGTAGATTGGGAGTAAATGGACTAAATAATGTACAACTTGAAGTTTGGGAGTAAATGTTAATTGTACATTTTTTTTTTGCTTTGGGAGTAAGTTTACTAAATTTATATACAATTTATGTTTTTAGAATTATGATGAAATAGTGTACAACTTGTGGTTTAGGTTTAACTTAACCAAACCATTGTGGAATGCTGCCAGATTCATCTTCTTGTCATCTTCATATATTGCATTATATACGCACTGGTAAGTCTTTTACCCCCGTACATTTAGATTCATAGTTGTATTTATATGTAAATGATTTTATCCTTAAATGTGAGGGGTGGCATTATTAGCCCACAAATTGTGGTTGGCCGAAAAAATCGGCCGACATTCTCGTTCTTTTGTGGCGGCCGAAAAAAACCACGGTCCGATAGCAACTTCCAATCCAATATTTAACTGGAATTATAGCCACTACCTTTTATTAATAATTGAATCATCTTCCGGGTCAAGCTGTTTCTTGGTAACTTAAAAATAAGTTCGTTTTAATCTTTTTATATTTGAAAGTTTTATATTGCTGTTTTTTTAACCTAAAATGGATGCAGCCATGACTGGGCCTTCAGAGCGAGAGCTAATAGAAATATTTTGAAAGCTTTTTAGGAGAGAATTTAAGTGATACTGATGATGATTTTACTTCGTTTTAGCAGTGGTCCCAGTTTCTAATATAAATGACCTAAAATTACTAAAATTGCTTTCAGATGTGTAATTGCAATCAAAACCTAAGCAAACTATACATTTTCTGAAAGATAAATGAATTGGCTACAACATTTAGATTTGTGTTTTAAGTGTATCTATAAAAACTAATGATGTTATGAGCACTTGAAAGCAAGACATTTTGTCGATTTTTTTTTTCTTGAGAACTCCAAGGTCAAGGACACTGAGCAAAACATTTTTTACAGGGTGGGCAACTTTATCCCCATCCATTTACCTTTCTAAAAATATATACTTATTGGGGTCTTGTATCAATATTTCTATGTCATTTAATGCAATTTCAAATGACACTCAAAAAGCTCTCACACCACAGCATGATGCATGCCACAGTTCGAGGGTTAATATTGACTTGAGATAAATTTAATGACATTAATAAAAAAAAGATCTAGAAATTGGTTGGAGTTGTCTCTCTTCTCATTTTTTTTGCTTCATTGTTTACATTCCAACTAACTTTCTGACATCTTGTCACCAGTGGTTGAAATACTCTTGTCACCAGTGGTTGAAATAATCTTCATCTGTAAAATAAAACATTGAAATGTGCACCAACATGTGTGTGTGGGGGGGGGGGGAAGTATATTTAACAAAAAACAACACAACAGCACTGGGTGAACATAATTTATTTCAAAACAAAAAAATTATGAATTTCTTAAACATCAATGTCAGATATAACATTGAAATGTGCACCAACATGTGTGTGTGTGGGGGGGGGGTAGTATATTTAACAAAAAACAACACAACAGCACTTGGTGAACATAATTTATTTCAAAACAAAACAATTATGAATTTCTTAAACATCAATGTCAGATAGACCCAGGGCCGGCTCTAACAATTGCGGGGCCCTATGCGAAAAGGATTGTGCGGGGCCCAGTCTGGGTAGGGATAAGGATAATAAGTGAAAATTAAGATTTTGTATTAGAAAATAAATTTGTCTTTGCATTTTATTCATTCTTTACTAAGTACAAAATCGCGATCAAATTAACATTACTTTACGAGCCTTGCGTGTAGCGAAGTCATACAGTATATCATCAAAATTCTGTTTCCTACATAGATCAAGCTCAATAGCAAGAATTGCCAAATTGTTCAATCTACCTTCGTGAATTGTTGACCTCAAGTAATTCTTGATAAGTTTGAGGCGTGAGAAGCTACATGATTATAAGTTATAATGGTTAAATTTAATAATTTACACCTAGAATTAGCGCGGGGCCTATGAAAGTGCGGGGCCCACTGCGGCCGGCCCTGCATAAACCACGTAATATTAACATCATGACCCATAGAAACCAATGTCACATACTTATTTCTCACAAATCTATTAGTACAAAATCCTCAACCAATGTCACAGACCACATTTATTAAGTATTACCAATAACACTCACCCTGGTCTGTATACAACACAATTTTGAAACAGATTTTTCTCTGAGGGGCCCTGTGTCACTATTATCATTCAATGAGCTGTATCTTAATATGGACAGCACAATGTAACAGCATCATGTAACACCGCCATATCAGAGTACCATAAGACAGTGCCTCATATTGACTACATTTAAACTTCAAACATTGCCTGGCACCCACCACCGCTATTGATTTACATTTACAATAATTTGGTCTCCATGCATAGATAAAGATTTAATATAAAGTTTAAAAATAAGCATAGAACTGTTTGATAAAAGTAAAATTCAGGGAATGTTCCAGTTAACAAACAGCAGATATTGATTAAGGCAATATGAGATTAAATTATAACAAACAAAACCAACAAATGTGAAAATATCTTATTGTCAATTAAGATCTGAACTGATAAAAAATAATGTTTTCTCTTACTTCTTCTGGCACAGCACAGGGGCAGTCTACTCTGAATAAAACATCAGTATATATTGAGACCTTAGATAACATGTTGGCATGACTGACATGATGAGACTATATCACAGAGGTTGATGACATCTTATATGACAAGTGATATTTTACCATATGGAGTGTGTACTAAAAAGGCAACAGATATAAATGATCAAGTTTCTTAAATAAAATCTCTTCAGTGACATTAGCAATGACAGAAAGTAAGCAATCAGTGTTATGGTGTGACCATCATAATAATGGGAAGCTATCAATATGGTGCTAGGTCACCAATATGGTAGGAAGCCACCCACATGGTGTTATGTTAGGCCACCTGTGAGGTAGGAAGCCACCCACATGGTGTTATGTTAAGCCACCTATGAGGTGGGAAGCCTCCCAAAGGCTGTTTTGAAAAACCATAGTTATGGTTAGAAGCCAACAATATTGTGGAAAACTATTATTACGGTGTGAAACCACCATGGTGTTAGACTATCAATAAGGTGTGATAGCATCTACTTGGTGTTAGACCATCAATAAGGTGTGACAGCACCCACATGGTGTTAGACCATCAATAAGGTGTGATAGCACCCATAAGGTGTTAGAACATCAATAAGGTGTGATAGCCCCCACATGGTGTTAGACTATCAATAAGGTGAGATAGCATCTACTTGGTGTTAGACCATCAATATGGTGTTAGACCATCAATAAGGTGTGATAGCATCTACTTGGTGTTAGACCATCAATAAGGTGTGATATCATCTACTTTGTGTTAGACCATCAATAAGGTGTGATAGCATCTACTTGGTGTTAGACCATCAATAAGGTGTGACAGCACCCACATGGTGTTAGACCATCAATAAGGTGTGATAGCACCCATAAGGTGTTAGACCATCAATAAGGTGTGATAGCACCCACATGGTGTTAGACCATCAATAAGGTGTGATAGCACCCACATGGTGTTAGACCATCAAAAAGGTGTGATAGCATCTACTTGGTGTTAGACCATCAATAAGGTGTGACAGCACCCACATGGTATTAGACCATCAATAAGGTGTGATAGCACCCATAAGGTGTTAGACCATCAATATAGTGTCATTCCACCCATGTGGCATGAGGCCATAAATTTGGTGTGATACTGCCCATGTGGTGTGAGGCAGGGGCAGACATTAAATAATTCAGAAGCTAGAACCATATACTCAGAAGCCAACATATTTATTTAAAAATACAAGCTTAAAACACCCCCCACCCATAAATCTTAGGGTGCCAGTCAAGCGCCCTGGATTTGTCTCCTCCTGATGTAAGACTACCATCACTGCAAGAAGCCACAACTGTGGTATAAAGCCAATATTTTGGAGGCCACAGATATTATGGATATGTTTAATATGACTAAAAGTTAAAAGTCATTTATATCTGTCACTCTTTACTTATGATCAGAATTCGGCAATAGCATAAAACGATATTACCGGTAATCAGGTTTGTTTTATACAAATTATGCATCTCCTCATGAATTTTGAAACTGGTACTTACTTACAAATGATGCATCTCCTCATGAATTTTGAAACTGGTACTTACTTACAAATGATGCATCTCCTCATGAATTTTGAAACTGGTACTTACTTACAAATGATGCATCTCCTCATGAATTTTGAAACTGGTATTTACTTACAAATGATGCATCTCCTCATGAATTTTGAAACTGGTACTTACTTACAAATGATGCATCTCCTCATGAATTTTGAAACTGGTACTTACTTACAAATTTTACAAAAATCCTGGTGTGTCACCTGGTGTGGTCCGCACACCCCCCCCCCCTGAACCCCACTACCTTGAGATGGACAAACTGATTTTAATACCAGTCAAATGGTTGCATATAACATATGAAAAGACAAGTAAACAAACGATATTTAACCCTCTTGAGACGGAGGACTTATGAAAAGCCCTGCATTTAATTTGCAAACCAATGTATAAATGATAAACTAATTACATTACAAATAGAAAACTATAATATATGTTATAGGGAATTGAAAGAACTAATAACGATCAGTATGAATAAAAATGAAATCTCAACATGCAGTGAGTTATCCTGATTTGCATAATTTATGCATGCCATTGTTTTTTTCACTTAAACTTAAAATAAACATGTCTTACTTGCAGAATTTTGTAGAATTTAGATTGTTGAACTTCAACTTGAAGCCTAAATAAGTTCTAAAAAACATGTGAATGAGATTCAATGTGAAAAAAACATAAAATATTTCCCTCAGGGTGCTTATTCCCTTTTAGTATATTTCAAGGTCACATATTTTTAGGATTAATAGAGACAAAAAAAAAATTTCCTATGAAATGACAGAACACTGTAAACTATCAATGGAAGCTGCCATTAAAATGGAAAAATGAGCAAGAAATGCGAGAAGCACTCGGATTAGTTGGTACAAAGACCTGCCAGCCAATCTCAAGTCTTGTATTATTTGGCAGACGGATTGGCCATTCGTCTTATTCAAGTCTGAGCCAATATATCAGCCCAGCCATCTCAAAAGGGTTAAAAATTCTATTGACAAGCAGTCACAGCAGTCAGTTTAAGGCAGTTAAATATCAATAATATCGTTGCATAAATATGAAAGCAAATGTGCCAAATAAAAAAAAAAGCCAATTACTAATATTTAAATTACCAGTTAAAACATTTTTGATCAGCAAGCTGCTGATTAGGAATAATTGATATTTATCATTTAATTGATATTTATCATTTTTAAGTTCTCAGGAATTATGTAAAAATTTCATTTTTATAAGAACCACTGACCTCGATAAAATACAAATTCCTGCATTCTTCAAATCAAAAATGCTGCTGACATATTCAGTCAGAGTGAACAAAAAAATGTTTTAAATAGCCAAGAAACATAACTTATGTGTGTTACATATAATTATTGTTTTCAAGTAATCTGCATAAGTTTATAAATAGCTAACCAACATTCAGCAAGTAATGTCTAAAATAAATGATCTTTTAAAACAAGGTATTCTGAGATGCAACACTCACATGAAGAGAACAGGCACCTCTTCAAGGGCAGGCACTCATGAACTTTGGGAGGGGGTAGCCAAAATATCAGCAAGAAGAGTCAGGACAGTCTTTGTTAAATTATACAATTTTATAGCAGGGAAATAATCTTACAGTTAGTTAGCTAAGGGAGTTCAACACTATTAGTGTAGCTAATTGCATTGCTTTAAGGTGTTTCTTGAATTGTAATCAAATCATTATTTTGAAGTAATATCTATAAAAAAATTAATTTAAACTGCATGAAAAAATAAAAAAAGGAGTGCTGAAAATTATTTTTTACCCTTAATGATGTGCCACATTCTCTCAAAAATGATGTGCCACATTCCCTCAACTATTTTAATTGGCTGTGCTAATGGTTTACAATCGTTGAGTGTTATGAGCAACATTCAAATACTATTTTAAAGCAAACATTATACAAGAAACCCAGCACATG